GTTCAAAACTTGCTCAAAATAATCGCTTTCCACTTAGACAAAAAGCTTTCCTGGACAAGGCAAATTTTTCAAAATTAATAAATAAAGATTTCACCTGATCCCTCGATTACCTCAACATTTCGGGTGGGCAGGAAAACGAAAAATATGCTTCCTGATTTTAATCAGTACGCTTTAACTACACTGTCAATGTAGTCTTAATTTTGATTGGACACAATTAGTTGACGTGTTCCCGATTACGGATTTTCTTGATTAATTGCAGCAATTTTTGTCCTCTCTCTGCATTAATGCATTCAGTATTTGCGCGTATTAGTGCTGTCACGGCAATTCTTGCCTCAACCATGTCAACTCTTATGTTTTGTTGCTTTTTGTCTACTCTCTTTGTCGATAAACAGATACCCGTTGACTTGGGTGTAAGTCACGTTGTCGTTCAGGTTGCGGACGACTACACAGCAAGTCGTCCGACAAATAATGACCTGGGACGCGTGCGCATGTCAGTAAAGGTAACATAACTTCACAACATTATTGTTTTAGGCAAATGTTGGTGAACTTTTCAACTGGAATGTCAAGCAACTATTTATTTTCCTAGCAGCCGAGTATAAAACCGCCGACAATCAATTGAACCAAGTCGTCCTCTGGGACAAAATTATAAGGAGAGGTGAAAATTACGATATCGATTACAAGAGCATGGCCGGCAAATATCCATTCTGGGATGACGGTCACGGCCTGCACGGCAACGACAATGTAACACTGAAGTTCTATTGGAACATAATACCGAATTCCGGAGTAATGCCTTTAAGATCGAGTGGCAGTCAATTCGTCTTCGCATTTCCTTCGAAGTATATCGACAGAAGGTGATAGACTGAAAGCTGATTAGGACTGAACCTGAACACCATTGATTTCCAGGGTGGGCTTTTCCCAATGTTGTTGGTTTCGGTTGTCGTGATCACGTTTTTTACACCGATTTATTTGGTAGCACTTTCTGTAACACGAATAATTTTTCCGGTACATTGCCCGTTCTCTAACTGCCTAAACTTTGCAATATTGTCGTTATGGAAGTGTTATTCGATAATGTCAATGCGTCTTGTGCTCATTTTGTTCATGTCAACATGACACAACCAGTCTCTTAATCGAGCTTGATACCACTCAATAAATCGGTGAAGTTTTCTCTAACTAAAATTATTGGCTTATACACATTGGGGTTAAACTGTGACAGAGGCGGTTTCTCATTGGTATGCCTCTCCTTGTTTGCCTTACTACTTTCTAGAACGTATTGTGCAGTCCCCTGACGTCGGATTGTTTCATGTTGGCTGCTGACACGTTTGCTCCTTTTATGGAAATGCTCCACCTGTTGAATAATGAACAAAGAGCACATAAACTAAATACCTGTTTGAACACTTTAGGTCAGCTGGGGGCTATAATTCTGCACCAGGCTTACCCACGGTAGGTAAGAGGAAGGAGTAGGACTGTGCTTTTCGATTAGCTTGATAAATACATAACTGTTTGTGTTGACCGTTAAAATGACACTGC